TTTTTTTTTTTATGTCTACAACTAGCATCAATCTTTAATTGGGTTTGTTTTAGGTTTTTATTTGTAATAGGCTATTCCTTAGACAAAATTAAAGTAATGGAGTTGTAATTAAACTCAATGAGTTGATAGTATAGGCCTTGAAGTCTCAAAGGATTGTCAAAGTGCCGCTTCTATAAGATTTATATCCCTTTAAGCTCGAGCGTCCAAAACAAAACCATGACCATTATCTAGGCTGCGCTAGCTGCCGTGTTACATGCTCAAACCTAGATCGTGATTTTTAGCTTTTTACAACCCCAAATAACATCAAACACTTCATATTATAAATATCCAAGCCATAGTTGTCCCAAAAGTGTGTTGAATCATTATTTTACGTTAAATACCACATTTTTGAAGATTAAAAACATATTTCAAAGATCTCCCGATTCAATAAATAAGTGACTTGTTGCTTGTTATTGGTTTAGTTCTACATATTTGGGTCTAAATATTGCCCAACAAGTGGTATCAAAGATTAATTGCAATATGCGATCCAATTTTTGTCTAGATAAGTCAATCACATTCTAATGAAGGATCTGATGATTATGAGGCTTATGACTACCTGTATAATGAGAGTATCATGTTATGTAGGCTAATAGATCTTATTTTTCATGTTATGCCGACAGAGAAGAAAAAGAAACGTAGGGAAAAGGGAAAACATGTCAACGACCAATCTTATTTTTCATCAAATCATTAACTATTCCAATTACAATGAAAAATCCAATAAATAGTAAAAAAACCTAACTTACTAATGACGGGTTGGACCAACCCAATAATATAAGTCCAATAATAGAACGTAAATAATAAAAATTTCATAAAAATGATATCCGCATCAGGATAATTGTCCAAATTCAGGTATTTTATTAAAATTCCCTAGTATATCTAGATATTATCTAAAACTTTAAACGTACACGTATCAATGTCGGTTGCTTTTTTCAATCATAACAATTAAAAGTTCAATATTTTAGCGATGAGGTACATTTATTTATTAATTTTTATTCAAGACGTTCATTCAAGTGCAAATGAAATTTATTTCTTCATGCCCTTACTGATGGACAAGTGAGTGGCAGATAAATTTGATTTCGACAACTTTTTTCTATTTTGATATCTTGTAATAATTAAGGCACTTCATATATTATACAAATTTTAGTTTCAATTCTCCTTAAAAACGAACATATATTATGACTTATATATGATGTCTGCGTACTATACATAAGTAAATATGTCTAAAATCTGTTCAAATAGCCAAGTCTACAATTTAGATTAGCCTTAATATTTATCTAATATCTTCATGGAAAATAAGGAAATTTTGTTAAGGACTAAGTAGAAGACGAATAGATATTGTAATAAGTTGAACAATGTTAGAATCTTTTTACATGGTTCATAGTTTTGGAATAGTCTTAAAGGTTAATGTGGTACTCAAAAAGTCACCAGACCTTTTGTAATTTTAGCATTATACAGTCGCCGAATATATAAAGTTGACGAGTATTGCTATTCATCACCACTAATGTTAAGCGACCAATTGAGGTGATAATTATATGACATTAAATGATAATTCATTTAAACGTGATGTCAAATGGCTCATTTAATTAAATCTATAAAATGTAGCGACTTAAACTGATGTTAGATAACATTATTTGTAATTTATTATCAATACAATGAATTTGATGATATTGTTCAATGGCAAGACTTATGTAACAATTTAATTTAAATTGACTCATTTTTACATTTTATAGTAGAAGTTAAAATCATGCCTTAAAATGGCATGATACCAAATTAGTATATGGATGTGACCCTTTTCAATTTATTAATGATATCAACCACTCGCACAAAATTAGACTCCTAAAAAAATCGTATGTTTATTAATGGATATATGGAAAGTGACTTGGCCTAGAAAATTTGGGAAAGTGCTCACTAACACTGTGGTGGGTTCTGACGATTGGTTTAGTATAATATTAGTTATTGTCTTTCTTGAGGTGAAATTGCTAATTTTTCATTCAATTAATTAAATGATTGTTTTAAAAATAAAAATAAGATCTAAATATATTATTTTTCAAGTCCATTGTTATAGAGAAAAATTATAAATGTACTGCGGATTGTCCAACTCTGAGCGGAGTTTCAACTGGGTTGATCATCGTCGTATATTTCGTCCAAATTTGGTCAATAGTATTCAATTTGGCATAATTAGGTCACGCAACTTCGACTTGCTTGCATATATGATCACACTGTATAGTTAGTTTAATTAATATAATATGTTTATTTGTACGTTAAAATTAATGGATGATTCATGTATATGTTAACTTTGCAGAATAATAAAATTTATCTATCGTAAAAATATTTTTAAAATAACATATTGACATACATAACATTCTAATTTCAAAAGTAAATAAGTATATTGCGTGAGTGAAACTAACTATAACAAACAACTAAATATATTTGAAGGTAAATGAAAGTTAGCTTCATCAAATTGAACCAAATTAAAATGAGTGATCCTAATGCAACTCCGTTAAAGTTGAGTGACCCACAATCAGCTAATCCTTTTTGTAATATGTATCAATTGTCGGTTGCATTTTTTTTTTTTTTTAATCATATCAATTAAAAGTTCAATATTTTAGAGATGAGGAAGTTTTGTGAAGGAATAAGTAGAAAACGAACATATATTGTAATAAGGTTCATAATTTTAGAGTTGTCTTAAAGGTTAATATGTCACTGAAGTCACCACAATATATAGCCACCAAACATATAAAGTTGATTAGTATTGGTATTCTTCACAATTGATGTTAAGCAACAATTTAGAGGATAATTATATGACATTAAATTATAAAATTCATCTAAACGTAAAGTCTGATGACTCATTTAATTGAATTTAAAAAATGTAGCGACTTAGACTGGTACTTAAGTACCACTAGTGCTAAATAACATTATTCATAATTTATTTTCAAGTTAATGAATTTGTTGAAATGTCCAATGGCAAGACTTACGTGACAAAGTAACAATTTCATCTCAAATGACACGATTTTTACGTTTTATATTAGAAGTCAAAAATTACGCGTTAAAATGGTACGATACCAAAGTAGAATATGGATGCGACATTTTTTCAATTTATTAATGATATTTCATCAACCACCAGTACAAAATTGGAAGCCTAAAAAAGTAATAAGTTTATTAATGGATATATGAAAAGCGACTCGGGAGAAAGATCAATTTAATAAATTTGATGAAATGTCCAATGGCAAGACTTACGTGACAGAGTAACAATTTAATATCCAATGACACGATTTTTACGTTTTATATTAGAAGTCAAAAATTACGCGTTAAAATGGTACGATACCAAAGTAGAATATGGATGCGACATTTTTTCAATTTATTAATGATATTTCATCAACCACCAGTACAAAATTGGAAGCCTAAAAAAGTAATAAGTTTATTAATGGATATATGAAAAGCGACTCGGGAGAAAGATCAATTTAATAAATTTGATGAAATGTCCAATGGCAAGACTTACNTAAGTTTATTAATGGATATATGAAAAGCGACTCGGGAGAAAGATCAATTTAATAAATTTGGTGAAATGTCCAATGGCAAGACTTACGTGACAGAGTAACAATTTAGTATCCAATGACACGTTTTTTACGTTTTATATTAGAAGTCAAAAATTAAGCATTAAAATGGTAAGATACCAAAGTAGAATATGGATGCGACATTTTTTCAATTTATTAATGATATTTCATCAACCACCAGTACAAAATTGGACGCCTAAAAAAGTAATAAGTTTATTAATGGATATATGAA